GCTGGTGGTGCGCTCTCCCGCCGCGGGGCTGCACAATGGCAGTCGCTCAGTAGGATGGATCCTGCCGTGGCTTTTGTTCTGCAGATCCACCCATCCTCCTAGCAGTCAAGTACCAGGCTATGGTTTTCTCTCTGGGGATCTTTCTTCCGCGTTTTGCCGGTGCCTCTGAGGAGGTTTTGGCCTCGGCTGGGATTTCACGACCTTACTTTTCGTTTGGCTTCGCGCTGAAAAGAAGGGATTTCTTTTATTTTCTCTCCACGCTTTTGGTTATAATCCAATGTTGATCTAGGGGGAATAACCATTCAGCCTGGCTGAAAAAAAAGCATCCGTTGAAAAGTCTCAAAGAAATATACCACGTGAGGAGAAAAAACTGGGAGAAGATCGGAATATAATCATTTTTTCTATGATAAAACTGGTGCCCCTCTTCAGGAGAACTGGTCTCAATTTATTATTATGCAACCACAAGGATCTCTTCTTTCTCAGGGTGTATAAGCTGCTGGATTGCTTTTCGCCCAAATCAATGTGGTTTCTTTGGAACATTTTCAGCAAAGGATCGCATATGCTGCAGTGTCTTTGTGGCAAGAGTCTTAAGAAAAACAAGAACCAAACTGGTAAGCAATCCATTGCACTGCGTTGTTTTTCTTTTATGCTACCCTGTCTGTTGCTCGCCGAGGTAGATCTGCAATCCTGCTGAGGGGAGAAGGGGGAAATATAACGAGGCCAGCACGGACATGCATGTGCATACATGTATGAATAAGCAAGGAGCGGTTTGGATTAGCTTCAGCCACTGTCACCACGGAAAAGGAAAAAAAAAAAATCAAAGGCGACCCTAGCCCAGCCTGCATCTCCTAGTTTCTATGTGCTGTTTCCAAGGAGGAAACTTTTATATCGCTACCCTTTGTCACCCCCCCCCACGCTCCCACCCGCCTCGCTCGGCCTTCTGAAGTCAAGCCCGACACCCCCCGCCCCCGGCCTGGGGGCTCCCCGTTATCACTCACCCCCCCGGGACCGTAGGCCAGGAAGGTGGAAGGGGGGTGGTGGTGAGGAAAGGGGGTGGACACTTTCTCGGGGCTTGTGCCCAGACGGCAACTCAGCCAGCCGTGCCAAGCGGCATGTGCACACGCCGGTGTCTCTGCCTGCGTCTCCGTGTCTGCCTGGCAGCCAGGATGATGCGCTTGGGTTCAGGCCGGCTCCGAGGGGGAAACTTGCAGTACATTACATAAGAAATGCAAATGCAGGTGCTCCGGGCCGCCCGGCCCCGGGGGGTCACGCTGCCGCTGTTGCATCCCTCTTGCTCGGGGCGTCCGTGCGGCCAAGCCCGCGGCTTTGGCGAGCGAGGTGGGCGAGAAGGGATGTTCGGCGGGCGGGGGAGCCGGCAGCTTTTCAGGGGAAATACCGGCCCTCCCCGCCCCCCTCACCCCGGG